AAGCTACCCATGACGTATTAAATATGCCAAACACAGTAACAACAAGTCTCAAAATGGAGACATTACTGGGCCTGCTCAAGCAAATCGATGAACAACAGGAGGGCAGTGACAGTGATATATATATATATATATATTCATTTATATTTATATATGTGTAAAAATATATTTCCCTCTGGGATTGGTTTCCTTCTACTTTAAACCCCATCAAATGTGGTGTTCCACTCTTGGAAGATGAGTGGTGTCAGGTATGAGATGCAGCCGCACGGTCCAGGAATAGGTTCACTCATGGGTGAGGCTCAGCCTGAGCATGAGAAGAGCGGCCGTGAGCATGGCACCTGTTGAGTTCTGGAGGTTTTTGGCTGCCAGGGCTTGACGTGGGCCTTCAATACTGTGAAATTTCTCTTAAGTATCCATCATGTCACGTGTTTTAGAAAGCTGTGTTTACATTTTCATTTGTTTCATTTTTTCCCCCTCTAATTGCCATTTAACTTTCTTTCTTGTGCCATTGGCTGTTCAGAGAGTTGTTTTATTTCCATGCATATATGTAGTTCTATTTTTTCTTTATGATTAATTTCTACTTTCTTGCCATTGTGTTCACATCAGTTACTTGGCATGATTTAGATCTTCTTAAACTTGCTAAGAAAATTTTTGTGGTCTGATAAAAAATTATCAGACCTAGCAAATGTCCCATGTGCACTTGAGAGAAGATTGTGTTGCATCGAATGCTATATATATATATGTGTGTGTACTAAATATGTATGCATGTATATTTTTCCTTCATTGCTTTAACTTTGATTTCTGATTCTCTGGCTCTGCTGTGTTGGTTGTCCTCTGGATTATTTGCACTCTGACTCTGTAGGTAGAGACCCCAGATAGATTGTTGTGTTCCCTTCCGCCCATACCAGGCTTGAATGAGTCCTAAATACACCAAGAGACCAGCACCCACTGAAATCTAGCTCCCAAGTGGGTTGAACACCAAAGGAGTTTATGGATGTCTAAGATAGTTAAAATAATAAGCATAGTGTGTGCATAGTGTGACTCATGTGAAAGCAAGAGAGAATTTTTCTCATTGGAAACCATCACTACTTCAGTCCGTAACATTTCAAGTCCTCATAAGTGAGGATGATGAGTGACAGGTCTAACTTAAATCTTTGCAGATCATGTGTGCCTTCCCTGTTAACACAGAATTAATAACCAACAGTTCTAACCACTGCTTTGTTGGGGGAACAGTGTTTATTATTACAGTTGTTGCAATTCATACCACCAAAATGCCCAAGACTTTCCACCACTATCCATGTGCTACTTCCAGTTTCACCTCTTGTTTCGTCCCAATCCTCCCCCAAGTGCATGGTAATCTCAGGTTTGCAATTCAAGGTCAAGGGGGTGCCATTATTTGACACTCTCTATTTCCTTGTTTTCTGACTCCCAATATCACAGATGAGTGAGAATTTGTGATTTTTGTCTTAATCCCTCTTACTTATTTCAGCTCCAGTCACAGATTTCATTATTTTTTAATAGCTTAGTGAAATTCCATTGTGTATGTCTGCCTGTGTGCACGTGTGTCCTAACTTCTTTATTCTTCCAACATTGACGTTTGCGTTGTCTCCATATCCTGGCTATTCTAATTAGTGTTTCAATGAACACAGGTATACATATATTTTTCCAAATTAATATTTTTTGGTTTTACGGGGCAATGCCAACAAGTGAAATCTCTGAATCATATGGAAATTATATTTTACTGCAATTTTTGACAAAGTGGAATAAAGTGGAATAATTTCCCCACAGACCACATAGAGTGGCAGGGTAAGCGTCATAGTTAGGATGCAAGGACCCGATGGAGCACGCCTATGCTTGAGCCCATTTCCGTGGTGTTTCACGTGTGACTTGTGGACATCATCTATTTCTCAGGTAATATCAGCTGTGTCCTTAGATTCGGCAATATTTATTTCCGTCACAACTTAACATACGGCATTCAACATTTTGGAATTAGCTAGTATTGTTATAACTAGGGGCTGGAGTGATAGCACAGTGGGTAGGGCGTTTGATTTGCATACGACCGACTTGGCAACCTGGGTCCAATTCCTCCACCCCTCTTGGAGAGCCCGGCAAGCTATCTCACCTGCACAGAAAAGCCTGGCAAGCTACCCGTGACTTATTTGATATGCCAAACAAGTCACAACAAGTCTCACATTGGAGACGTTACTGGGCCCGCTCGAGCAAATGATGAACAGTGCGAGGACCGTGCTACCCATTTTGGTGAAATCTCTGGAGTGTTTTCCCTACAAGTTGAACTAGACCGTATCCTCAGTGAGGGATGCTTTTTCACATTGCTGCCAACAGTGGTTCTTTCTACTCTTTCTGACATATGCCATTCTCACTGGTGTGTGATAACATTTCATTGTTTTGATTTGCAATTTCCTGGTAATAGTTGATACTGAACATGTTTTCATACACTTATTGATCATTTGTATGTCCTCTTTGTAGATGGGTCTCACCTCACATTTTGTGATGTGATGATTAATGTTTTGTTGGGCTTTTGCTTGCTTTATACATCTTAACATTAGTCCTTCTTTTGATCTACGTTTGAAAATATTTTCTCCTGCTCAGTAAGGCAGTTTTAAAATTTTAGCCCACGTTTCTTTTGCTCTGTAATCACTTGTACATTTGCTTTCATCCCCTTTGTATTTTTATTTCTTTTACCAGTGAAGTCAAACTATTGCAGACACCCATGAGGTTCCTTTCCCAGACAGGTCTGCGTATGCTTTCGTGAATGTATTGTATGGATTCTGGTCCAATCTCAACATCTATAATCCACTTTGAATTAAGTTTAGGTGGATATGAGATACATATTTCTTTGTTTTTTTTTACATTTTATTTTTCAGTTTTCCCAACATGTTAGTTGAAGAGGACTTGCCTGCCCCACTTTATGTACCCAGCAACTTTGTCACAGATTTTCAATAAATATGTGAGTTATATCTGTGTGTTGTCAATTCTACCCCATTGGCCTGAGAGTTTGCTTTTCTTTCAGTAGATCACAATTTTGATCACTATGCTTTGCAACATTGTTTCTGACCTTTTCTTTAATGTGCCCCCTTCCAATCTTGATTCTTCCTGTATCTCCCTATCTTATTGGTTAACCCTATAGTCTCATGCTATCCCCACAACCACCTCCTGCAGTTAACTAATTTTCACCCCTGGCCACTGTGGGTATTGCTGGGGTCTCACTGAGAACCATACATTCTGTAATGAGAAAATTTACTATAGTACATTGTTAAGTCAGGAAATGCAATACTTCCCTCCTTTTTTCTTAGAATTGCTTTTAGTTCTCAGGGAGTTTTATGATTCCGTATTAATTTCACGAAAAAAATTTCTAAATCATTGATGAATGTCATCAGAATCTTGAACAACTGCATTAAATATGTATAATTTGGGTATTATCATTTGGGCAATGTTATTTTTTCAAATGTCGGGGCTGGAGCGATAGCACAGCGGGTAGGGCGTTCGCCTTACAAGCGGCCAACATGGCCGACCCGAGTTCGATTCCTCTGCCCCTCTCGGAGAGCCCGGCAAGCTACCGAGAGTATTCGATATGCCAGACACAGTAACAACAAAGTCTCCAATGGAGACGTTACTGGGCCCGCTCGAGCAAATCGACGATCAACGGGAGGGCCTTTACCTTTACCTTTTATAAACATGTAATATTTTCCCATTTCCAGGATTTCTTTCCTTTTCCTTTGTAAAATGACTGATAATACTCGTGTAAGTTTTTTACATTTGTTGTGAATATTAGGTTGATTTCTAGGTTATTGGTTTTTTTTTACGTCACTCCCAGAGGAGCTCAGGTCTTACTGCTGGCTCAGTCATCGTGAGTGACACCCTTGGGGCTTGGGAAAACATATGGGTGCTGAGGATTTGGGTTGGTTGCATGTTACTGAATCCATTCTGGATCTGTACTTTTGTTTGGGGAGGTTTGTTACTGGTTTTTTTTCATTTTAATTTTTTGTTTGGGGTCTACACCAGCAGTGCTCAGGGCTTACTCCTGGCTCTGTACACAGAGGTCACTCCTGGTGGAACTTGGGGAACCCTGTGTGGTGTTGAATATTGGATCCAAGTCAGCCTCATGCAAGAAAGAACCTTACCTGCTATACTATTGCATTTGTCTCTTTACTTTCCTTCTATAAAATTCTATAATTCAGTGATTGTTTCTCTTCTGTTGTCAGTTAAATAGCTTACATTTAATTATTTAAAATTTTCTTTTCTATATATAACCTCTTTTTTATTTGTTTGTGGGCCACATCCACAGGTGCTCTGGGTTCTGGGCTTACTCTGACTCTGACCAAATCCACTGGTGCTCTGGGCTTACTCTGACTCTGCATGCAGTGAACAATCCTGGCTGACTAAGCAGACCATATGGGGAACAGGGATCAAAAAGATCAGTCATGTGCAAACCTACCTGGTTTGCTATCTTTCTGAACTCCATCTCTTACTTATTGATGGGAACATGTGTATTGTCTTTTAAAAAATGGTTTTTATTGAATCACTGTGAGATACAGTTACAAAGCTTCCCTGTTTGAGTTTCAGTCATACAATGATCAGACACCCATCCCTCCACCAATGCACATCTTCCACCACCAATGTCCCCAGTATCCCCACTTCCCCACCCCTTCCCCTGCCTCTATGGCAGACAATCTCCCCTATATTCTCTTTTGTTTTGCTAGTATGATTTGCATAAGATGTCATGTGGCCACAAGAGCGGCTGCATTCTCCTGGAATTCTAAAATTCTAGATAACTAGGGTGTGGAGAAATCTCTGTAGCAAGCTGCTCAATTCAGAGATTTTTTGTGTGTGTCTCTGGATCATGGCCATTAAGGAGTTTATGTAGCAGCTGGAGGCAGTTTGTGGGCATGACATCCAGAGTCCCATCAGAATGGGGGAAGAGAGGGATCGTCCCATCCACTATCTCTTGATGCCTGGAGTTTGTCATCTCTGAACCCACATACCTGCACTTCTCACTGGGTTCTGAAAGGTGACAGCCACCGGAGGGGTGGGTTTAGGGGGAAGGTGGAGGGACAATGCCTGCCACCCTCCATCTGAGGCATCCCAGGTAATCTGGCCTGGCTTGAAGTCTGGAGGCATCTCTGCAGTGAGCTGCTCTGTTCGGAGATTCTTTTGTGTCTCTGGATCATCGCCCTTGTTTCCATCTTTTCAAGAGAAATTGGCATTATGCCCTGCAGGGCATGCCCACTCTCCCACAGTGCACCACTGGCCTTAACTATGGCTTTTTATCTCTTTCAAGATTTATGGGCTGGAGCGATAGCACAGCGGGTAGGGCGTTTGCCTTACAAGCGGCCAACATGGCCGACCCAGAGTTCAATTCCTCCGTCCGGCAAGCTACCGAGAGTATTCGATATGCCAGACACAGTAACAACAAAGTCTCCAATGGAGACGTTACTGGGCCCGCTCGAGCAAATCAACGATCAACGGGAGGGCCTTTACCTTTACCTTACCTTTACCAAGATTTATGGATCTCTGAAATAAGTCCAATAAATGAGCCTGTATAGCTGAGCCAGTGGTAGTTTGTGGGTGTGGCTCCCACATACCTAACTTTTGGCGGTTTACTTTCTTGGTAAACTTGGCCCCAAGTTGTTGGGGTCCGACCAAAGGCACAGCAGCAATTTGGGGGTATCAGGAAGTGTGAAGGCACCATCAGGCTGCTAATGCACTCACCCGAAGCTACAGGTTGACCTGCTGGCAGCACCATACTCCCCCCCACCCAACACGTGTGTCACTAATTCAATTTTGGCTTGTTCCATTCTAATGCTGAGTCTTACTATTGTATTCTTTACCTCTTCTTTTTAATTATTTATTTTTTCTCCCCTCCAGTCTTTTTGCAGGTTCATTGACTCTTGTGATGATTTCGTAGTTCAGTGGTTATGAAGAGAATTTTGTTGCTTTAGGTCATGTCACTCAGTGTCAGAATTTATGAGGCACTTGAGAAGTGTTCTGGGCTTCTGGCCCTGTCCAGAGAATGGTCGAATTTCTTAATTTTTTCATTGTTACTAATGCTTTTTGTGAAGATTGGGTTTAACCCTGGGATCAAGGTGGTCTGAGCAGTGATCTACTGTTCCCATTGGTGTATCAGGCTAGTAAGGGTTAAATTGTACTTTTGCTCTGCTTCTGCTGTACCGCTTGAATTAAGAAATGCGTTTTCATGATGTATTCCTATAGTGACAGCAAAGTTAGAAATGTGAGCAGGAGCTAAGCACAGGTAACCAGGAGACAGCCAGAGGCAGGAACTCTGAGTGGCTCATTCTAGGAACCTAGCAAAGATGAATAGGTCATAAGTAATAAGTTATGGTTCAGAATGGAGTAGAAGGACCCAAGCCCACCTGTTACCCAGGTGGAGAAGTAGGCAAGGATCACAGAAACAATTAGTAAATTAATAGATGTCTCTATGGAACCTAAAACAATGTGTCTGTAACAAAGATTTCCAGCAACAAGAGTCCCACTCTAAGTCCCGTGTTGAGCCCATCCTGCCTCAGTGTACCTTAGTGTATTGTCATAACACAACCAATTGAGAAGCCCTATTTATTTCTCTTCTTCTCTTTGCCCCTCGTGAGTGGTTTCAGGAATGTTCCTGTGTATAGTGCTCAGTGCCCCTGCTCTGGCTGCAGTTCCAGGAGATTGCCTGGTTGCAGTCTGTCTTGACATGAATTAATTCACTCTCCTTGTTTAATGTTCTAAAGTTTGTTTTGGTGTGATGGATTAATCGAACTGTCACATTTGGAGACCCTGGTACGATGTTAAGACAACTTGAACTCCTGACTTGGTGAGTGAAAGGAGACCTAGGTCCTTATAGAAGGTGCCCGAGGGTACCAGCCTTCCTTAGCAGCCCACAGACTCCAGGAGAAGTTTGGCAGGCGGGCGAAGGAACAATGAGATTCACTGAGAACAGGTACCTTCCCTAACACCTTCTTACCTGGACAGACTTCCAGGAAAGCCCTTAGCTCCTCTCCCAGGGAGAGTTTGGATTCCAAGTCCTTTTCAGAATGTGAGGAGTGAATTTCCCTTCTGGATGGAGTTTGACTCTCAGGTGCCAGGACTGGCCCCAAGCGGCCCACAGAGTGCCTGGTCTGAACAACGCTTTGACAACGGTTTCTCACTCAGTGGCCAGGGAGAGACTGATCACCTACTCAATGTAGGGAAGGGTTAATCAGCCACCCATGTATAGTTTTTGTCTTTTTTTGTTTGGGGAATTCCCAAGGATCTGGTATTCATTTCCCTGCTCACCATCTTTTTCTCTTTCCTGTTACCCCACTTCATCTGGTGAGCTGAGACTTTCTTTTCGTATCACTCTGCATGTGGAGGAGTGAGCAACTTTTCTGTCTTAGGAGGCTGGGATGAAATATTTTGGAGTTACTCATCTTTCTTATCTATCTTCAGGAGCTCACCATTATTTTACCAAGATTTCCATTCCCCAGGAAGCCAGGGGTTAATAACTTCCCTGTAAGAAAGCATAAGAGATCCCTGACAGTTTGATTTTTAGTGGCAAGAGAACCAAGAACTCCTTCTCTCTATTGGTGTCATACAAGTTGCTTTGGTTATTTCTCTGAAACTTTTTAGCTGACAGGTTCCTACATGGAACACTGAGAAATCCTTCTTAAAATTTTTTTTTAATTTTATAAGGTAGTTCACAATAAATGATAGCACAGCGGTAGGTCATTTGCCTTATGCTCAGCCAGTCCGACCGAGCCGGGTTCGATTCTTCCGCCCCTCTTGGAGAGCCTGGCAAGCTACTGAGAGTATTCAATATGCCAAACACAGTAACAACAAAGTTTCCAATGGAGACGTTACTGGGCCCGCTCGAGCAAATCGATGAACAACGGGAGGGCAGTTTGTTTGTTTTATTTAATATTCAAACACCAATCCCACCACCATTACACCTTCCCACCACCCAATTTGGGATGTTTTCATCCCAAATCCCAATCCCAGTCCCAAAACAAAACTGAAATAATATATTTTGTATTGTCTGTTATGAAAAAACTCTGAAAATGCTACAAAAAATATCCATAGAGGAAACAGTGTGAAGATTATTCTATTTTGGCAGGGGCCATTAAGATATTCTTTAAGATATCACTAACAAGTGCTAATACAGAGGATTCCAACACTTGAGCTTTTGAGCTTTTGAGTTTGTTTTGTTTGAAAGACTGATAAGACCCAAGGAATAGGGTAAAAATGAGCTAATCTGAGATGTGAGATAAAATAACTAATTTTTGGCTTCCTCTGTCTGGAGAGAGAGGTGTCATTTTTTTTTCAAATTTTATTGAATCACCATGAGATCGTTACAAGCTTTCATATTTGAGTTACAATAACACAATGATCAAACACCTGTCCCTCCACCAGTGCACATTTCCCAGCACCAATATCCCTGATATAACTCCCTTTCCCACCCTCTCCCTGCTTTCTTGGTGTTGGTGGCACCGACCGCCCTCCTTCTTCTTCAGCAGGCTGTAGCCCCTCCACCTTGTCACATAAGCTGCAGAAAGTCCGCCACCTTGAGACTCCTTGTTTGCTGAGAAAATGCCTCTATCAGAACTAGAAAAGCTGAAAATGGTTATGTACCACTGTCTTGGTTTTGTAATCACTTGTTCATGATTTATATTTGCCAACTTGATGCCAAGAGAGCTCTTTCATGACCTCTTTCCCTAAGAGACAGACGGGGCGGAGGGGCATTTGGAAGGGGGGTGTCTGAAGGGACAGTGGATGGTCTCAATAGGCCAACAGGTCTCCATTTGCCCTGGGGACCACTCTATCTTTCTTGGTCTACCCCGAAGTCTTCTGGCCATTTGGGGAAGACGAGGGATCAGAGAAACAGCAAAATCAATCGATGGCCTATGAGTATGTATGTGTGTGCATGTGAGTTTGCACATGTTTGCAGTCAGTTTGTCCAATTGTCTGTGTGTAAAAGGCTAGAAAGTTAGGGCGAGGATGAAAGCAGAAGTAGAAGTCCCTCAAGGAAAGCCGCATGTGAAGTCATGAGTATCAGCAGCTTCTAATTTAGATTGAAGAAAAGAAAGTAGACAAAATGTTAAAAATATTTAGAACTATTTCAGGTTTTTGGCAACTTAAACTTTAACGATTGCAGGTTTACTGGATTAAGACTCAACTTTGATGTTTAGTGTTCTCATGGAGAAAAATATATACTCTGAGGACTTCTTATGATTCACTGTGAGCAGATCTGGAGCCCGTGCTAATTAGAGATGGTCACTCTAAAATATCAGCAGCCTGCAAGTGTGCTTCCTTTGCAGTTTTTATTAACAAATGAAGACTAAACAGTTAAGATAAATCATTCTAATCAACTAAGTTCAATTATGAATTTTGTTGTTAGTTTGATTAGTATGTATGTCAAATGAACTAAATAAGCTTTAGTCTTTCTTGTCTTTCAGAAAACCAAGTTTGTTTTGAAAGTTTTTAATTGTGTTGAAATAAATAAATAGGTATTATTTTGTGGTAACTTTTGGAAAACAGGGCTTCCCAGAACTAAACTCTAAAGAAAAATTTGAATTGGAAGAAAATAAAAGGGGGTGATGGTCTGAGAAGAGTTTCTAAGACAATCCATGAAATTTGCTATTTATAAATTCAGACCTGTTTGGAGTTTCATGGGAGGCATTGTCATTTTAAAAAAGGGGGGGAGAGTTTAGAATTATGTAGCTATAAAATAAAGTTATGTGTTAACTAATTTCAGTCAGTTTCCCATAGCTGAAAGGCAAACGTATAAACCAGAATTGACCATACTTAGAAATATTTTATTTTTGAGATTTTCTTGTAGTTTAAATTTTAGTTTTATTGAGTAAATTTAAAAGTAGCTCTGTTCCGTACTTTTCTCCACTCCTGACTGGAAGTAGTCTGCAGCTTAGGAATTCATTGTTTTCTACTTAAAAAGGAAAAAAGTACTAACCTTTTTAAGCTCATTATCTACTTAAAACGTTACTACTTAAAAAGTAGTAACCTTTTTAAGACCATGATCCAGAGACTCACAAATAAATTTTGGAAGAGAGCCAACATGCTACAGAGATGCTTCCGAACCCCAAACCACCATCCAGTTAAAAATGTAACTTCAGCTCTAGCACCCTATT